ATGTTTCCAGTGCTTCCAAAATGTTTGCCTATGGGATCTCAAACTAGCAGTCAAAAGCAAAAGGACACAAAAATCACAATGTTTTGGCACTAAAGCACATCCAGACAATTGGCTTTATTCTGCAGCTGTTGCTTGATTGGCAGCTACACAATAATAAAGCCCTACTTCGGAGAGAACAAATAAGCAATCCAAACCACTCAATATTTTTGCTCAGGCAATATTACAAAGTTTCTTAAAGAGATGGGTTAACCTTTGAAACTTTGGGTCTAAGCACATTGCTTCAATAGAACACACATGCTGACACTACAGAATCAACGAGAAATACCTGAAGCTAGCTTTGACTCAATCAAAACCAGTTTAAAGCTCCACAGCAGACCATTTTCCTAAAGACAGTATAAATGCAATGAAGTATAATCAACGAGCTGCTCTGCTGTTCCTTGTAGGTAGTGGCTCTACAGCTGCTGTTTCTAGTCAGTTAGTTCTTTGTGTTTCCCCTGCCAACATAAAAGGAAGCCAGTATGTGACAAGGCATTACCAGCTGTAGCTAAAAAAATAAATTAGATTTTTAACACCTCAATGCAGATTTTTTTTTTAAGTTCCTGCTTGCTGCCCACCATGAGACTATTTTCTATATTGGAGGATAGAATTTCTCAGGCTGCTCCTCCACAACACTCACATTGACTGAAATCAGCCACATAAGTTCCTGAGTTTTATTCCTGGTGTTCAGCTATAGGATGGCATCACTGTCCACAAGGTGAAATAAATAGGAAATTCAGGCTAAACTGATTAGTGAGCAGAGCCTTCACTGACCAGCTTGCTAGAAGCCAGGCCCCAGAGAAGGGCTCATTTCCCCACGTTTATATTAAAATATCTGACTGCCCAGCACTGTATCACATTTAAGTGTATCCAGGAATCAACGTGCATCACGTAAGATCCCACAAGTTGCTTCCCCTCCTGTGAGAAAGACCATGGAGCAGGATTCTTCCTGTCTAGCACACTGGGCTATTTTTAAAGTACCACCCCGTGGAGTTCAAAAAACCCCATAAAAACAGAAAGCCTTCATCAATTTGAACTGTCTGCTATTAGAAAGCAAATCATGGGCTGATTTTGGCACATAAATCATATGTTGCATGAGACTTATTTTAAATTACAGCTTCTTACATCACCTTGGCATATGTAGTACACTGATTTATGCTCCTTGGACTGGATTCTTTTTTTGCATTAAGTTCCATTTATAATTTCCAGGCAGGGAGTGTCAAAGTAGATAAAGGCTATATCTATGCTATAGAATGAACAAACAGCAGGCCAGCTCTACACTTAATTACAAATGGATGTGTACAAAGGGAGTCTCTGTGAGACTTAGAAATTAGATGGGATTCAATTTGTATAATATAAACCATTGTCACAAAGTCCAGTTTCACTGTCAGAGGTGAAAACAGAAAGCAGAAATAAGCAAGACAAACACCTTTTAAAGCCCTTTTTCTTGTAGCAATAGAAATACTAATATGCAATATACAATAATGCATATTGCCATTCAAAAAAGGTAATAATAGTCTATGGTTATGCTGCAATGTTCCTAGGCGGCCACCAAGTTCATTTTTACCTCCAGTCGTCCTTTGAGAGATTAGATAAAATATTCATCTCTTCATCATCTTGCAAAAGACGATATGCCGCACTAACGTGGTGATTTTCAAGCACAGACCGGTCATTATATAGAATGGCTGAGTCTGACCTAGCATTTAAGAGAAAACATAGGAAAGGTTATGTTTCTTCCCTGTCTAAAGAGTCTCACATTCAGAAGTTTTTCTTCGATCAGCTACAGAGATTAGTTCTATAGCACAGATAAAAGCACTTAAAGAGCACTTATAATATTTTGTTCATTGCTGTTATTCAGTAAAAGAAAACTAAAGATCAAAATTCACCACAAAATCCATTTCATCAGCTGCAACTCACCTAGTCTCTTTGTTACATACTTTAAAAAAGTTGTGAGAGGTTTGAGAGATATGTAAATTTAGGGCCGAATCACGAGGCTCTTTCCCAGGTCTTCTGTATGTTGCTCTCATATTAAAGCCTGACTGTACCCAAGTAAGCAATTGCGAGATGTGTCTCACTATTGTTTCCAGTACAGCCAACTGTCTGTAAGCAAGATATAACTGCACCGCTTTCTGTCATGTGTGCACTGGACTATGCTGTCCAGAGGGCAACTGCCAGTGAGATAGAGTAAGACCAAAGGTACTTCGTGCCTTATTTTAAGCTCCAGGGCATAGATCTGAGATTGATGAATGGCTAAACTGGTCTGAAGACAAAGTTCTTGTTGGCAGTTAATGGCAACAGAGGGTGAGTACGATTTATTAGTCCCCACTCAGTTTGCTGCAACTAGGCACTGCACAATCTTTGCACACTTGTGAATTTTGCTGCCGTCTTCATCTTCTCCTTCTCTCTTCCACCAACCCTAAAGCCTTATAGAAGATTCTGAGTTCAAAAAATACGCTGGTCCAGTCTAGTTTGTGATTTGCTAATGACTGTCCAGCAATTTACAAAGCTTTAAAATATATCTCTGAACATGTAAAGGTAAACACATCCCCTTGCTGCAGGTGTGGTTTTCCACTAAAGTAAAAATGGTACGTGTACTGTTGGTGTTCACTGATGAATACAGATATTGCTGAATTCTTGATCCATGCAGTTAATGTTTGATTCTTCAAATTCACCAAGGAGAAAAAACTGTTGAATTATAGTATCTCCTCCAAAACTATGCCCTCATCAAAATACAGCAATTTGTCTTTAGCAACTTTACACAGAAATATTTTGGGACCTTCCTTTTTCCTGATTATTAATATGAAACAATGCTCAAGAAGGTGGAATACAGGAATTCCATTGTAAATGGCTGATCGAGAGAAAATCAAACGCAACCTAAGGAAGTGAACTTTCCTGCAGTAACACTTGAAAGCAAAAGTTCCTGCACTTTTCTAGGTGGCTGTGCTGTTATTCTCCAAAGATTTCCCCCTCCATTTCCCAACCCTTCATCATGATTTACAGTGGCCTCACCGTGTCTGGATGTGAAAGTTGTTGGTGGTTCCAGTGTGTTCATAGTCATGGATGGCAGCTGCGAAGATCATAGCGAAGATCTCCAGCTCTGTCAGCCAGTGCTGAAAAGAGATTACAGAGCAATCAGATAAACTGTCATTTTCCCAGGCATTAATGCTTTTGTCTTTTAAGGCAAATTAACCCCTGCTGACAGTCAATGTTGCACATCGTCTCCTTCTCCCTGCAGCTTGCCAGCTGTTTTAAAGCAAACTTCCCCAGCTGATACACAAAAGCTGAACCAGTGTTTTTCCTGAAGCTTCACCTAAATGAACTTCAGCAAAATGGTTTCAGGAGCTAATAAGGCTTAAGGGGGAAACATGCCATTCTTAAAGAGCAATGTGTGAGGAAGCCAGAGAAGGAAACCTCAAGAAAAGCAAGGTTCTTCAAGAGGAACTTGATGACATGTGCAGGTACGCACATACAACCAGGGTATGTATTGTCAGCTCAGTTGACCTGGGTAGAAGAGCCTCCAATACAGAATGTCACTAATTTCCTGTAATTGAAAGTCTTCATCAATCACTGAATCATGAGGAGAACAGGGAACACAACCTTACAAGATGTACAACTTGTTATTTATTTACCATTTATAGAAATATTTGAGAAAGCCCTGAGGTATTTTTTTCCTAATTGCCTAGTCGAAGCCTTATTTTCAATGCTTAAGTCACTTTTGAGTTAGATTTCTAAATAAGTCAGATGTTTGTAATAATTTTCCTCTGAGTCAATCAATCATTTTATGTCTGGTTTTCCACTGGTAGCACAGAAGGAGTACTGCTAACATCAAGAGCATCAGAGACAAAGGCTCTAGATACCGTAAATATTTGTCTGAAATGCTTGTATGCATTATATTTAGAGAAAACCTTCACCACAGTGGTTGTCAAACATTTTTGTAACACTGTCAACCTGCAAACGTTTTGAAAGATGTTCGTGTATGAACTGCCTTTTAATTCCAATCCCAGTAAAGACAGTACAGTTTTATAGATCTATCCTAGACATCTACTATAGCTCAGGGGCCACCCCTGGTCTGTTACCCATGGGCAGGGGAAGCCCAGATAACTGGGGGGCTCTGCACACAGTGACCCGTGCAGCTCTCCTCTGGCCTTTCACAGCCATCTCTGCATAACCAATGAAGGATGAAGCAAGTCTCAGTATTAAAGATCTCCTTAACATTAAAGATGCAGTTTGAAAATATCGGACAGAGATATTTTGCACAATGCTACTGACCGCAATCAAGGTAGCTGTTGACTTTTTTTTTTTTTTTTTTTTTTTGAGAGGGAGAGAGGAGAGTGAAGAGCTCAAGAAATGAGCAGACACAGAAACTATTTTCTCATTTCTACACAATTGGTCCAGGACAGAAATGGACAGCACTAGTGGTGGAGAAATACGTGATGTTCCTCTTTCCAGATGTTACTTGTGAATAAGGAATGCTTTATAACTGATGAAGAACATGATTTCAATTTTCAAGCAACAACTTCTGGCAACTGCAATGGGGTGAAAAAATGAAGTGGGATTTCCAGGCTACACATCTAGATCTGGACTTCAATTCCTCACCCACGTTCTGCCATTTCCCAAATGGAGGGAGTGCAAATGACACAAAAAAATCAAGCATAAGCACTTGGGGACAGGCAGACGAAACCTATATTATGCACATAGAACTACTACGGGATATGCCCAGCTAGTCTAATGCATCCACTTCAGATCTTCTGGGCACCATTTGACAAGTCCCATTCCAACAGGATCTCATGAGCCAAATCTTAAAACATCACTAAGGCATCGAGCTCTGTACTTGAGGTCTCCTACCTCATCTCTTAAAACACATAGAGGAGAAGTGCTAACTTGCATGCTCTATTAAAGCATCACTTGTTGAACAAGGTCAGGTAATGTAGGTTTTCAAATAGGGTGCAATACACCTGCGGAAAGGTACTAAATACCACAAAAGCATTTGAGGAAGACCACTCAGAAAGCAGACTGGGATTACAGTTGTGAGCTGTGGGTAACAAATAAATCAGTGTAAGTAGCAACGAAGTCAAAATAGACTTGTGAGTAACAGGAGGGAAATAGCAGGTAAGTAATTGGAACCTTTTAGTCCCTTTTTTCTGCTACAACGTTGCAAGGAAAAGCAAACAAGACGGCAAAAAGCCTGCAGAGAATGAATGCAATCTCCATCAAAGTGGTGATACCGCCTTTCACTAGTGTGTGATGGAGTTCATTTTAGGAACAGAGAGCTGGTTTTAAAGAACAAAGCCATCAAGAACTACTGAGAAAGCAGCAGGACACTGTCACAGGTGAAGAGAAGGAGGAAATGTGAATATTTTTCCTTTCTAAAGGGCTGACAAAAACAATCCAGAACAAACCTTCAAACTTTCTGAGATGATAGGGGGATGGTGCAGGAAGAAGGCATGAAAGAACAAATATTGGCTTCCAGAGTGGAAACAAAAAAAGGGTAATGAGGCATGATTAGCTTTCACAACCACACAATAAATATGAAGAATTAGCTACTAAGGCAAGTCATTGGCATATAAACAAAAGGATGGATGCATAAAGAAAGACAAAGGAAGAGGAAAGAGCAGTGTTTCCAAATCTAATTAAACAAATGGATGCATTTCCAAGAAAATGCCACAAAGCAAAGACAGCAATAATTATCTTCTTTCCTTCCACAGAGTTTATGTTTTTTTTTATTTCAAAGTAGTTATAATTTTCAGAGCTCATGATGATCTGGTTATTAATCACAATAGTCTAGAGGGGAGAATGATCTCACTTCCCTTTGGTTCAAAGAGATGTGACAGAAGTCCTGCACTTCTGCAGTTTTACAGGTCTGCTGCAGGAAATATTATCCTGTAACTCCGGACAGTATCAAAGAAAGAATTCTTAAGCTTCATCATTTGCACCTCATTGTGTGCATTCGCAAAAAAAATCATATAGGGATTCCTAATAATTATAAAGATTAATCAGAAAATAATACCAGAGAAAGTAATAATCACAGCTGAGCAAAAGAGTTAATTAAAGGAAAGAATGAAACAAGCAACAAGTGTGTCAGCATTTTGAAGTTGTTCCTACACATCACGCTTGTTTACCAGTCCTCTAAGAGCTAAACATCACAGCAGTTCCAAATTCTCTTTCAACTTTATGTCTATAAGAGAACCCAAAATATTCTAGTTCATATGGTAAAGTATAACGAATTAATGCCAAGGCATCATTCTGAGGAAGAAAATGTCAGGAAAACTAGAGATTTCAGGCACTGAATATGATTAGAGGGAAAGAAGATCTTTTAATTGAAAAGGAAACAGAAGAAAAAAGAAGCCTGGAATAAAACTGTTGAGAGAGCTTGTAAATAACAGGGAACATAACAAAGGCAAATGAACCACATAAAGATAAAACAGATAATTGTTTCCTCCCTTTGAGACTAGAACAAATTACCACTATACAGACTATTTGAATTTGGAAAAAAAGTACTTTTTCCACATTGCAACTATTTAGTTAACAGATAGAGCGGTTTTTTCTATTTTATGATTTTTTCACAAGTCTTTGTCTTCATCCCAGCGAAGAATTAAACCAATAGCCCCGAACTGCCTCTGAAACCAACATCTTACATTTCAGCATGTCCAAGTTACTTGGAAAAATATTGTGAAAGACATGAACTGAACAACTATGTATGCTAGAGTAAGGATAAGATACTGATGTGAGCAAATTCTGGAAACAGGAAAATATCCCCTACCTTTCTTTACCGTGTGTGAACATAACATGCATATTAGAAGCTAGTCCTGCTGTGAGCAGGAGGGTAGGATTGCTGACCCCTAAAGCTCATTTTCAAACTACATTAATCTATGCATATTGAGACACGTTGAATCCTGCAGGGGAGGTGGGGTGGAAACTAAGAAAAAGAAAAAAAAAAAAGAAATCAAAGTTTAAAAAAGCATTCTAACACGGAAAGCAAAGATGAAATGTCACTGTTGGCATGCAGTGCTGTGAGTCTCTTATTGCTGGTAGCAGAAGAGTGGTTTCTTGTTGTGCTACATTAGATCCTAAACCAAATGCCACATATCACTTGGCTGTGGAAACAACTAGTGCTTGGGATTATTCCTGGGAAACAGCAGACACTTCACTACATCCTCTGCAGTGCAACTCCATCACAACAGTCTGTGTCAGATACTTTCCATGTAGATTATTGCAGTAGGAATACAAAAGCAAAGGGCTCAGCACAGGCACGTGAGTCACTAACTCCAGTGCCAGCAGGTATATGTGATCACAACACACAAATTCGAGTTTCCCTTCTAGAGATGTACATCTGCAATATGCACATTCTCTGACCTCTGCACGTATTTCAGAACACCGTTGCCTCTGAAACAGAGAGGGGGAATACTTCAGAGACACCAAAAAAGAAAGTATTTGAATACTGAAGAGGTCTTATTTGTCACTTCAAACATCAGCCATCACAAGAGCAGGCGACTTTGAGAGGCGTGAGGACACAGATCATTGACTGGACATAGGCAACACATGAGAGAAAAATCTCAAAAGACATACGCTAGAGGATGCCAGGTTTGTGCATCTGTTGCCACGTTCAGATGAGGCTGAAACACACTCCAGAGAGAACTGAAGACAGATATTTATCCATTTCTTGGTTTTGCTTCTCAGGCAGACTGGAGCCTGGCATACACACAGCTGTTCCTCTTTCCTCTGACCAGCTTTAGCTCTTTGTTTCTGCAATTGTCCTCAAACTTCACACAGCACATTTTGGTGCTGCAGTCTGCATGCAGCATAGCAGCCCTGGCTAAACAGGCCCCAGAAACCGTTTGCAACAGCTATAACCACTGTGGTATCACTGGACTACATTTAATGACGCCAGTGATGCACAAAAGTCTGTTAATGTCTTACATGACATAGTTTGAGAGTGTTCCTCTTCAACCTGGGCTAACACCTTCATATCAGAGAAGCATAGTATATAAAAGCAGCGGAAAAGCAAGTCAACTGAAATAGTTTAATCTTCCTTACCTTTAAGAAAATGTATTTTACAGTCTCAAAGAAGAAATGAGTCAAGAGAAAAGGCTGCACTACTTTCAAATGTTTACACATTGCCATGAAACTGTGCAGAAGGATAGCTCTGAATACATAGGCTTTACATATATTATTGGTTCTGACATGTGGTAAATAGGCAAATTCAGCTCTCACTTCCAGTGTTACCGGGTGGATTATAAAGTCAGAGGTCCCCTGGTATTTCTGCAATATCTCCTTCTCCTTTATTCCCAATGATTCTAACCCAGTTTTCTATGCAGGAAGAAGTTCATGAAGAACCAAAGTTAATTCACTCAAACAGTAATTGTCCAGAGTGATTTCTTAAATAACTTGACTCAAGAAAAATTATCCAAGTCTTTAAAAAGTAGGTAACCTAAAATTGTACCCAAGAAAGAAGAAATAATGCAATCCGATGAAAAAGGAAAGCAGGTTATACCTCTATAATCTATCAGCTATATCAAGCTGATACAGGAAGATCATCCTCGAGTTAATCTCCTCCAGAAAGTCACAGTTGCACTAAGCTAAGCATTTACAGCCGTGGTCATATCAGAACATTTTCCAATAAAGACAACTTACCTATCAACTCAGGCCAAGGAAATGTCCTAGAGAAAATCTTCCCTCTGACCATTAGTAGTGATCCCTATCTCCTATTTTTTTCCTGGTTGTGGCACATCATGGCAACAAGTATGGTATGAATATACCTGCTGGAGACCACTGTAGACCACCAGACTCCCAGGAATG